TGTACGGGTGAAAACGGTTTGACGGATAACTGACATCGGATTCTGACACAGCTCCGTACATGGCCCAAGGTGGCGTCGACGCCGGTTGTTCGTTCCGGGTGAGACCGCTGCCACTGCAGATCGGAACGTTAACGATCTGACCAACACCGCTCTGGCGGTTGACAGCTACGGTGGCTCAAACCCGGCCACTGCTGCTATCATTAGCGCCTTCCAGCAAGGCAGCAGGGACGGACTGGCTGCTTACAATCAAACATCGTAGATCCTAAGAAGGTCTGGTGTGCAAGAGACAGCGAGAAAAGAGACGGCTCATCAAAATGCTGAATCAATCTACGAGTCAGGTTTGACCATCCTCTACTCCGACGGCCGCGAAGACAGGATCTACATGAGTTACATGCAACCTATGTCGCGGCACGTGCCGAACCTGCCGGTCGACTTGATCCAGCAATAGAGTACCGACTAGCAGCTGCAAATGTATGTAATGTATGTAACTAGCAGCTGCAATAGTAAGTAAATGCTCAACACCGATTACATAAAATATCAAATACTACGTGATTAAGTTTAATCACTCATTACTTATAAACTCGAAGATAATGCTTTTTCATATCTACCTGGGATGGTTCCATGGTCTGATTCGCCACCAGCCTCCGGCGTTCAAAACGACTCCGTCTGAACCGCGACAGACCGGCGGCGAATCAGGCCATGGAACCATGCCAGGTAAACACGAAAACGCAATGTCTTCGAGTCTATAAGAAATGAGTGATTAAACTTACTAACGTAGTATTTGATATTTCATGTAATCACTGTCGAGCATTTACTTACTATCATACGTCGCGTCATGGCATGTAGTATCACTTGCCTGTTGGTTCATGCCCACTAGCATATATCCTAATATGTATTCTGCTACATCTAAAGAGAGTAATCCACATTTACATGCGGTTTTGAACAGAAATAGCCATCTTGAAGGCATTTTGGTGCTGTTAGGGGCGCAGCCAGGGCTTTGGCAAAGCGGGTACAAGGCTGACAAAGTGTCTCCCAGATACTAAAAGGCCCCCCCACAAAAAAAATCGTCGGATGTTACCCATTTGTTATTGAGGGCATGGTTTTCTTACATACATCCATATATATATATATATATATATATATATATATATATATATAACATGTTCACGTTCTATAACTGGAAATGGGCCAGACGCTACCGCGAGATCAAATCTGCCTTAAATTCATAGCAAATAGACTGGCCAAATAACGCGTTATATGATTGCATGAAATACATCGCCGACGCTCTTTATTTCATGATGGTCCAGTGGACTGTTTTTCAGCCGACAGAACTCAGAAACTTTACCAAAATTGTTATCTGGTTACTTTGGGTTCATACAGAAATAGAAGAATTCCGCGAATGTAGACTGAAGATCAAAATGGGCCAACAATTTATGCTAACATGGCAGAGCCATGTTTGTCCGAATATCTTCAACATTCAGTCAGCACTGATTAGTGGTACAGATTATGTGACGTAGTTTTGAGCATGTGCGCTCGCATATCTCAGGAACAAAAACTCGACGCCCGGCGTTGCAGTCTCCGTAGGCCGCGCAGCGTCGGCCCTGCGGTTAATACTAAGCTGTGGCCAATAGGTGGACGAAAATGATGACGCGTTTGAAAGAAGTACCTTTGAACGCTTTTGGACACCAAATCGTACGTTTAGAGATATTCTGGGCGCATATTTCAACTTGCAGTTTTTAGCTTGATGACAATAACGCACTGGTATTAACAGCGCCGCGAAGTGGTGCTGTAATCTGGTTGTGGAACTGGAAGAGAGGAAGTAAAATTTATATTTGTGTGTTGCTGTAACTGCTCATCTGTCCGAATGACATCCTCAGAGTTGTTAAAAAAAGATTCGCAAAGTGTAATCTTTGAAATGTACGCATTAATTTTGAAAGCCATTCAGAAAACATTGTTTTACTATGGTCCTTGTTGTGCGTTCGGCGCCCGCCACCTCCCCCCCCCCCCCCCCGGCGTTAATTACGGTGGCCAACGCCTTTCGGTTTAACGAAAACTGCGACCCAAGCCATCGCTATTCATGCTCCCCGAGATTACGGGCGTGCCATTGGGGCTTTTGACGCACTCCGCTGCTGGGGCTATATAGCGCCGCCTGCCTCTCACCCTCGCGGGAAAGGCGGGCACCGCGGAGAAACGAACCCCGTACCTGCGTTTTCCCAAGCGCGTAGTGGTTAACAAAGGCGCATGAAGCGCAACACTATCGCCACCCGGCGCGCAGTCTTGCACATTTTGATGGCATCTGCTTCACTAGTCGATTCTGCAAAATATCGAACATTCTCAGAGAAACATGAGATGGCCTTGAGCGTTTTTTGACCCACTCCATCCAGCACTAAGAGAACCTAATTGCTTTCCAGAAGAGGAGCCTTTATAGACTATACATATATAGTAGCCCTTATTGCTTTCCGGGAAAGGGGCCCCTTAAGAACAACGCTACGGAGTACACCGTTGTTCCCGGTCAAGAGCTAAGGGCTATTCTGTCCTATCGTGGTGTGTTTTCCGGCCGTCATTCTGGCGACGCGGGCGGCATCCTCTGGCTGGTCCATTGACCCTTAGAGGGAAACATCATATTACATTGGTTCGTTCCCTGACGCGGGAGGCCTTCTGACGCACGCAGTTGACCCCGGATCGACACATGAGCCGTCATTAACGCAACAACATCCCTGCTCACCGCAGGCGGTCAAATAATTGGCGCTTAGGATTCAGGTGGACTTAACGGGCCCCTGCTGCAAAAGGATTGGAGGGCCCTCCGTTCGGTAGTGGGCGCCCTGACTGGCACAGGACTCTTCTTTTACCTCGATGTGAGCACTCATCATGAGTGTTTGTTTGCTTCCATTGTAAGAGGGTCCGGTCAACGCAAGAGACCATTCGCGATTCGGGCTCCTGTCCCCGTCTCTGTTGTCAACAAATTCCCCCTGACCGATTCCAGGTCTTTTGTTGACACAGGATGTCCTGTTAGGCACCGTAGGTCCCTGAACGATAAAAAGCCCGACCGATGTAAATCGTGGCCCTGGCCTTGTCCCTGCTTGAGAAATGGACCCCCAGCGCCCAGACCAATACTAGGCTGACTATTTGCTGTTCGTGACCTCTGACCGACATAGAGGAACGTTCTGTCTCAGGGGTCCCTATCGGTGCCAGAGATTCTTTTAATGAAATTTGAGGTTACGGCCCTTTAGCGGGAGTCCTTAATCTGACCCACAGCCAGCCCTTCGGACCCTCCAGCAACTCCACCGACCCCTTGATCTTTGGTCTCGGGAGCCCTTTCGGTCCCACTTCGGGACTCCTCAAACGCCGCTCCGACTCGGGGCCACTGGCCGCCAAGGGACCCCTGTTCGGCACTGTGGTCTCTAACCGACACAGGAGCCCCTCATTGTGTCAGGAGCCCCAAACATTGCAAATTGTGGACCCCGGTCTCGTTCCTGCTTTGCGAATGGGTCGCAAGGGCTCAGACGGACTTGGAGTCGACTGTTCGGTGTTCGTGGTCTCTGACCAACTTAGACAACCACATTGTCTCAAGGGTTCCTCAAACGGCCCAAGAGGACCTCTGAAGGTTGCGACCCTGCGGGCCGCGATTCCTTATGTGACCTACAGTCAGTCCTTCGGGTCTTTATGCTCTCCAGCCGGATCTCTAATAGTCGGTTTCGGTGGGCCGCGCGGGCCCCTCTTCGGGCCTCATCAAACATTTCCCTCGGTCAGTTCGGGTCCCTGCGAGCACAGGCCCCTCTGCTAGGTGCTGTGGGCGCCTGACAGACACAAGGCCCCCGACCAGCGTAAATCACTGGCACCAGCTTTATAGCTAATTGGGAAGCGGGCCCTCAGGCCCACACCGACACGGAGCTGACTATGTGGTACGGTGGTACCTGACCGGCAAATAGGCCCATATCGACTCAGGGGGTCCCCGATCGGCGCAAAGGGCCCTCTGACCGTTATTTGAGGGTCTGTGCTCACAGGCCTGGCACCTCAAGAAGACTCCGACGAGCCCTTTATGCCCTTAAACCCTCTAATCGGGCCCTTGATCGTCGGACCGAGTGGGCCTCTAGGCTCTTCAGGCCTGCTCGAACACTACCTCTGGCCGACTCGGGGGTCCCTTGACAGCGCAGGGCTCCTGCTAGGCGCCGTGAGGCCCCGAGCAATGTAAATCGCTGCCTCCGGCTTTGTCCCTACTAGGGAAATGGGCCCTTAGGCCTATGCCGCCATTGAGCCGACTGTGCGTTGCTGGTGGTGTCTGACCAAAATATAGGCCCTTATCGCCTCAGTGGGCTCCTGATCAGCAGGGGCCCTCTGGCTGGCATTTCAGTGCCCGGCCCCGCGGACCGGACCCCTAAATGAGACCTCTGGCTGGCTTTTCGGGCCCTCAAATCAGGCCCTTAATTAGTTTCGAGGGCCCCTCGGAACCTATGATCAAGTACCCTTGTGCCTCCTCCTGTCGCCGCCGTCGCCGCCGCCGCACCATGCCGTCCGCCCGCTGTCCGGATGCAGGACAGTCCTTCGAAACAGGGCAGACCGGAGAGCGGACCGCTTGACCAGCACTCGGCGCTCCCTCAGGCGGCACGTACTGTGTCTCTGCCCGCTGGTCCAGCAGCACGGGGACAGGAAAGTGCTGGAGACGTGCAGCCCGCAGAATAGGAACCGCAGCGCCGCGTACCAACCAGGCTGGCAGCAGCTAGTGCAGCAGTGCCTGGCCACGCGCCGCATAGCAGAGTGAGACCACCGCCACACCGCCGAGACCCGTCGAGTAAGGGTATCAACAGGATTACCAACTCAGTAAGCCCACCCGGGACGTACCAGTTAAGTAGGAATACCCGCTGGCTTAGCCAGCGCCTAAATGTCCCTTATATCGTCTCACGTCGTGCTATGCCCGGTCAGCGAAAATGTCATCATTCCGAAACAAAATGTCATGCCAACAAGTATGCGCATTGTGCAGTAGATGGCCGCTCAGCGCTCACCTTGTGACCTTAGACGATCATGTTGTTGAGATGGTCGCTTAGGCTAAGTTCGTCTTCGGCCGTTGGCGATGCCCGCAGGGAGAGCTGGGACGACAGATCGTCCGATCGCATCACCACACCGTCCGAGGTTGGCTCCCAGTAGGAAGCAATGGTGCGCTTTCTTCTGCCGCTGTAAGAGCAGATACCTTGGTTACGAGTGACGTGGGAGTTTGCACTGTCCGCCTGCTGGTAACGCTCAATATGACACGCGATTTTAAACGTCGTAGGCAGTTTACAGATTGGTTCTCTGCATGTGCCACAACGTTAAATCCGGTGCATACGAAAAGATAACGGGGTGTTAGGGGACGATGGAGCAGGAGCAGCTAAGGTGTTTACCTGCTCAATCACGCAATGCGAGGATGTCCGAATGGAAAAGTGAGCAAAGCGGGGCATGAACAAAGCAATTCAAAAATTTGAAGCAAAACCCGTTGACATCATGTGTGGGTAAAAGGCCCCGCCTCATGTCATCCCGTGACAATGCTCAAGACAACCACAATCGCAGGACTCCTTACTCCAGACCTGCCGAAAATGATAGAATTTCACGAACGTTAAAGCAAATATTTACCATTTACTCTATGCAACCGGGTTCGAAGCAAAAGCTTGGGGAGTTACTTCCTCCGCCACAATTGTGCGCCATTCTCTCTTTATGAAACTGGTTACAGGTGAACTCCACCCCGTGGATCTGTCGACCATCCACGGACCGATCCAGTCAGTGAAGTGGTCTTTTGCACGCAAGCGTTTGTGACAAGGATACTCGAAACGCCGCGAAACTGGGAAAAAGGGCGTACTATTTTAGCTCTGCGCTCAACCAGGCTTCAAATGACGCATTTTGCGAGCGAGCTAGCGGCACCCGCATGACATTCCACCTGCACCCAGTTTCATAAAGAGAGAATAGCGTACAATTGTGGCGTGGGAAGTAATTTTCCAAGCTTTTACCTTGCATCCGGCTGCAAGCAGTAAATAGTAACTATTTACTTCAACGCCCTAAAATTCTACTATTTACGGGACATCTGAAGCAAGGAGTTACTCCGTACTTCACCAGGTATCTATGGGGTTTCATAAACACGACTGAATTGAAGCTGAAGTAGACCTTCAAAGCGAAACTGAAGCAAAATAAAGACGCTCTGACCGGTCGTAAAATAATCAGTGGTGTTTATAGAGGAACCGGCGCAAAGCCGTGCAGGAGTGGAGGAACAAGTAATTAAGACTGAGAATCAGCCCGCGGTGAGACATTGGCGAGCTTTGAAACGATATCAAGGTAGCAAGGGTGGACGAGTACGCAGATGTGATAAAATCATTGCAACGGCAGTTCGTATAGTAGCTTTGTGGCCGTCACAAACATAAGATAAAGCTGGCAGTGAATAAAGTTGGCAGGCCGTTATGAAAACCAATCTGTTTCCTATTTGTCACGGATTTCTCGAGGTCACGATTTTTCTTTCTTGCTATGACACGAACATGCATGATATGAGTTCACAAAATACATAACCTGGGGCAAGCTATTTCAGAGAGCTTTTGTGGTTGAGGTGCATATTGCCCTCACACGGAGGGAGGGCAAGGGAGGAAAGCTAGAGTATGAATACACGAAACACAGACAGCTTGATTTACTTCTGTGAGTAGTGCAACAGTGTCTAAAATTATATGATGTCTGTGTTTCAGCGAATGAAAAAAGTGATTGTATTTAGTCTTTTATTAACTGTCACACAAATCACAAGCTCATTATGAACTTAATACATAAATGACGACACCTCTGCCACCTTAGCGATATTCCTGGATTTATCACAGGCATCTTAATCTCTCGGGTCCAAACATACGCAGAGTTACGGGCCAATAGTAAGCTTTGAGTTTCATCTAACTGGGATGGTCTCTTGGAACGTGGTCTAGTCTCTTATAATTCGTGTCCATTTTCGCGTTTTTCAACGAATTGCTCACACAAGTGTCTATCTTTGTCACCGATCATATCCGGTAAAACAGAAGTTTTTTCGTTCCTGCCCAATCACTCAGGATCCATCAGCTCTGTGTCTTTGTGTAACACTTAACATGCTAAGAGCGTGTACACGCATGTTTACCAGAGCTCTTAAAAAGATCACAATATATAAAAATGCTATTTATCCTTTTGAATTGAACAAAAAATTATGTGACACCATACTTTTGAATCGTCAGCTGTAGTTTCATCACTAATCCTAAAACGAATAGTAGTGATATCTGTCTGATGCTGTTTGATTTACTCTACGCATGAGTGCCTCCTTCACCAGTCCTATATTCTGTTTGTAAAATTCGGATAACAACAATGTAAAAGTTTTGTGCCGGAAATATGTTTGCATTCATCTCGTGCAAGCCAGGTTAATATTGAACCTCATCAATTGGTAGCAGTTAATTCTTGCGACAAGTCAGCATGCGTCCATCGAACTATCATTTTATTGTAAACCAATCAGAATGCTTATATCGAACTTGCTGCCGAAAAGCAGCTTTAAACGCTGAGATGTGCCTTATTTGCTTGTTTATGAAGACTGAAGCAGAAACATGAATGGCGTTTTTGGGCCGATGTTGACTAGAATAGTTTTGCTAAGCCAGACCGGGCCAGAATGAGGATTCAGGAATTCGAAAAGGCCGGATAGTCGGCCAGATTGGATTATTGAGAGCCGGGGTGGACCTGGCCGGTTCTTTCGTCGTAGACGCATCGTTCTGCCGCCAAAATGCAATGCAAGGAGCCCAACGGCCAATCTGACCTTGGAGCGTTGCCGGAAAACTAATAATGAAAGAAGCCTGAAAGCGAGCTGGCATTTCCAGTCGCCTATGCCCTGCCTGTCCGAGCTCGGACTAGAAAGCCTGCTACTATCGTTGCAAACGAAGCCTTTACCTTGAGAAGCCTGAGAACTACCTTGATAAATTTGTTCTTGGCCGTTAACAGGAATGCGGTCAGCGTCTTTTGCACGGGCCGAACAGCGGCGGACGCTTCGTTGGGCGAGAAACGACGACACGTGCCATCACATGTTAGAGCAGTGATACTCTGCTAGATCTGGCTTGGGTGACGTGGTGGGGAGTAAGCCGGTTAAATGCTGCACTAGCTCTTAATTACAGATGCTGTATTAGAGCTTAGGATTCTGGTGGTTCCTATGGTCGCAGTGTTGTGAAGAAGCCATTAATTGTAGAAATAGAAACCTCATTTCCGATGAAAATGGAAAACTTGCAACACGTTTTCTCGTCTGAATCCGTAATGCAGAGGTCACCCGGAGTGCGGGCAGCACCACTGTCGTGACATGTTGCACAGTCACAACAGCCCTCGTTGGCACCAACACCGCGACGGCCGTCGCACTTGCGGTGAAGGCGCATCACGTTGACGCTTACGGCAGCGCAGTGGCTGCAGTCCGACCACCACACTCGGCGCTGTTGACACTGTCCAGTGACACCAAAGCTGGTGGTGACGACACCGTCCATAGCGACAGTAGCAACAGCCGGGCAGTTACAAGACAGTGCCCTAAATCTTAAAGCATGTGCTTCAATACAATGCTATTTTGTATCAACACGAGTGTCAATGGTGTCCATTGCAATCCAGTCCGGTGCTGGTACATATCCAAGGTGTGATCAGCTGTTATATACATCAGGCGTAGCAAAGCCGTCATTTATCATGCACAGCACACACCTTCGATTACCGAGGCACAGAAGTTTGGTGAGGTCATATGAAACCATGGTACCAAACCAACTCTTTCATAAGAATCACTGTGAAGTGACATGCCAAAATTAAGGCATGCTACATCATTCAGAGGCGATGCCAATGTTTTTTTGGAGGCATATCGCGACGAAACATGGGCCGGCGGCCCTCGCCCCTGCAGAGTGGGTGAACGGCGCGGAGGCGTGGCGCGACGAAATTGGAACGGGCGGGGTGATAACACATGTGAGGGCTATACCAGTTATCATCCGATGAAGATAACACAACAGCCGAAGCTAATGGTGCCGAGCGAATCCATACAAATGGGTCTCGCCCGTGATCGGAGAGCCCGTTTTTCATGGGATTTAGCAATCAAAGGTCACTGATGTAGCGTTCTCGCTCCGGATGTCCCATCGCTTTGCCCGTAGACTGGCTGGCAGCGGGCCTGGCCAGGCTGGGAAATTTCGGCCGATAAAGTTTATAACTTTGTCATCCTCCACTTTTTGATGACCATGGGAAAATTTGCACAAAAATGGTATATTGGTATATTTGGATGACTATTCGTCAAGGAAGTTTAACTGTGCGTGTTCAGTTTGCATGGCTAAATCCCGCTCGGTTAAAAGTGTGTCGTATGAATCAAATTCGGTTGAAAAGTGACATTGAACGGCTTATGGACGATTACAGGCGTGGCTATGGATCGGACACTGTTGAGATCGCTTAGTTATTTCTAGGCAATGCATTCGCCCACCCGTACAGTTAGTTCCCGGTTCCTACAAATACTCGGTGTGGCACACATTTAGCGTCGAAGAGAAACAAAAATACTTCGGTTGTCTGATAGCCCACTGAGCCATAACCCTAGTTCTGCGGCACAGCAGTATTATCTTCTGTTATATTGTCGAACAATCTATTTCATACGTATTTTTGTCAAATGTTGTTAATCCGTGAAAATCATTGTTTCCTGCTGCTGTGCTGCATACTACATCCACCTGTGGCACTGCAATTGCCACCCACAGTAAACTTTAGGGGTGGAAAACCGCCTTTTCTGTCATGGACAAAAATTTGGAAGCATCTAAATTGTCGCCTGGAGCCAAGTCTTTCAGAAAGCGTTGCAATATAACTATCAGTTCGATGCACCACAAAACCAAAGACAACTGAAAGGCAATGCGGCTTGACCACGAAACATCGTTTCGGGAGTTTATTTGCACTAAAGTGTAGTTTGCTGGCCATCAAACACTGAGTGAAGGTTGAGACTAAAGTAATAAAATTATCAGATGAAGACATACTTAGCACCTGAAAACAACATAATTTTTGGTTTTATGATGTCAATGTGCAATCAGCTGGAAGCGTTAGCGACTTTCCCTGTCTTCGCATAATCCTTACCGATGTAGAACTTGCACTTTCAACATGATTCCGATCATTTAAAGTGAGACTCATACAGTATCGGTGTTAACAGATGCGTACGAAATTTTGGGCACATCTTGCAC